CAGGAATAAATTACATTTTAGCATATGTTAAAACAGAAAACAGTTATTTTGAATTGTAATATTATTTCACAATAGTGCTTAGATAATAAAATCACAATAAAATTTTCATATCAGTCGATTTTAGGGGTGTGACGAGATCTCGTGGCACGAGATCTTGCAAGATCCAATGTGTCTCGCGAGATCTGACTGGTCTCGCGAGAACATGACGATATCCTCGCGCAGACCTTTCAGATATATTTGCATTAGGCTACACTGGCTCGTTCACAAGTGGTGGTATGTAAGATATTTTATGTTCACATCAGGCAAGTGGCCGCATGATAAGCGGGAAAATTACGCAGTGTAGTCTTTATCCAGTCATAAAAACAGAATTAACAGTTTAACGTGGAATGTCACGGAATTTGTCAAATTTTGAATGAATTAAGCAAAAGTAGGTCATTACAATTAAATCAAATCACGATATGGACTAGTATCTGTAAATATTACGCTGCAAAAGTCTATTTAAATATGAATCCTGCATGTTCTGCCTGTCTCTGTTGATGAATGGCGCAGACGTGTGGTTTCATTTACTACATATATACATACTGAAGCACGCCTGACACTCGCGGTGATTTCAGCATCTGCCGTCTCACTAAATGAGGACGTAAACACATGAACAACATCTCCAGAACTGCTCTGAGAGTCACTTCATGAGCATTGTAGCGTTTGATTTGAGTAAATCTAGCGTCATATATCATACACAGAACTGTAAATGTATTCACGGCAACCCGTCAAAATAAAAGTCCGGTTTGATTTGAAGACATTGTGCCTATAACTATTTTTCAGTAAAATGTACATAGCCTACTACTACTACTATTACTAAAATGAAACAAACATTATTTTTTAAGGAATAATCACACTAAACATTTCTTCCATGTTTTAATTTTAATAGTAAATTTATTAAATTAATAGTAAAAAAATTTTTTGTTTGCCAAAAAATCTTGTTTGCTTAATTTTCAATAATTAAAAGATAAAATAAGTTTTATGCCTTCATTTGATAACCAGAAAAATGTAAATACACAACACAGAATTTCTGAGGGGAAAAAAAATTCATAAGGCTACTTTAAGAAAAAAATGAATAAATTGGGATGTTTTATGCATTCAAATAATTAGACATGCTAAAACACAGAATTTGGTAACAATAAAAAATATAAATAATATGGTGAGAAAAAATAAAACATTTCATAGGGCCCTAAACATGTAATTTTTGTAAAACTTTTAATAAATTGATGTGAAAATGTATAAGTTTCATGATTTTAATTAATTAGACATGCTTTTTAATTAATAAAATTTAATTTAACTATTAAAAAGGAGTCGAGAAAAATTCAAACGAAAAAAAAAAACTGAATCCAGAAAAATTAAAATGGAAAAAATTGAATTTAAGAAAAAATAAAACGGATTTCATAGGACCCTAACTAACTATTCCTCAGCCTTGCCGCGCCCCCCAGTTTGGGAACCACTGCTTTATTCCTTTAAATGGATACATTAATCATGTTTATTATATATATATTTTTATTTAAGTGGAAATCAGTTTACTAAATAATGTGAACTTGACTGACTGCTTCACTTCCACTTTAAAGGGATATTTATGTTGTTTATTATTTATTTTTATTTATATTTAGAATTTTTGTGGAATTACTTGCCTGTCAGTTGAGTTTGTGGCAAAACATTTCGCAGTGTTTACATGTTGTTTATTACTGCATAACATTTATTAAAATAGATGTTTCATTTCATAAAGTACAAGTTGATTTCAAAATGCACCTACTTTTTTGCATTTTGTGTTTTTCAGTTGAATAAAAGACTATTTTTCCCTATATATTTCATCATTGAGGATTTCTTTAAAAAAGTCTAAAAATCTCGTCTCGTCTCGTTCTCGTGAACCCAGTCTCATGTCTCGTCTCATCTCTTGGGATAAGTGTCTCGTCACACCCCTAACGATAATTAGCACGGAAAATGTCAAATCTTTATTTCTAAAAGTAAAAAGTAAAAGTTGGAGAAACCAGCCAATTAATTTTTTTTTTTTGACAAACACTTGTAAAACAGGTGAACATTTCACAAATCTGAGGTGTAATATTCAAAACATTTATAATAATAAAATATTTTTTCTACATCAAATTATGCATGGATAAACTTAAGTAAATCCTTTTTCATTTTTATCCCCTTAACAAAATATCTTATTAGAGAAATAAATATAATTCATGAAGCAGGTTTGTGTTCCCTGACTCTGATGGCATGATGCAGATGTAAATTTATGTTCATTAACAAAAACAGTAGAATCTGTAAAAATTGTAATATCCTTATAGGGTAAAAGTGAAACATTCTGACTGTTTGAGTCAAGACTCGACTCGACTTTTATTAAAATTAGCCATTGGCCATCGATTTATCACACAATTAGATCATGATAACCGAAGGTAAAACCACACATAGCACCTCACTACCATGGTAAAATGAAACTATATGGTTTTTATGGTATTTGTATGAAAAACAGCAGCCTAAATAGGCATACATTTAGTATAAATACAAATGCGCCAATGCTATAGCATTTTAATACATTAACACTGTTTCGTTCCACTTTTGGCACACAAACGTTATATCGAACATGTGTTATTATCGCTCCATCGAGGGGAAAATACAGTATTAATTATTTTTAACGTTTTATCGCCCAGCCCTAATATTGCTATTTTTTCTGTATATTTGATTTAAAAAAAATGCAGCCTTGGTAAGTATAGGAGATCTTTCAAAAACAGTAGTGTATGTCATAAAAAGTTCAGTGTACTATGAGTACACAAAGAGTTCAGTGTACTATGAAAGAAGACTATAGACAGCAAGTTTCAGAACTTTGATCCAAAAATCGTTAATTTCTGATGTCAGAAAACTGAATGCCATAACACATGGCCGTTATTGTCACATGTCAATGACACCTATTTTGGTAACAACACTGTGGCCCACCTAGTCACATTGCGTTCATAAGGAGGAAGTGGGATAGATATTATTCATAAACACCAGATACAGTGTTATTTACAACTATCACAAAAATAAAAAAGGTCAGTAGTGGCTTAAATACTGTATACAAGCTGTTGTATGAACAGGACATTTGGAGAGTCAGACCTGTTATTAGTATCAAACACTGACTGAGTAAATGCAGCCATAGAAGTATTCAAGACACAAATAAAAAAATGACCCATTTGATTCTAAGCATCACAGAGAGGAAGGTCATGGAAAACGCATCATGATCTGTTTTTTATTGCAGTACAGCAAACCAAAACAAAATGATGTGAAATGTATTATATGACCCCTTTTAGAGGTGTCTGGTAAGGAAAGTTCACACCTCTTTTCTCATTTCTTTTCTTATCTCTGCTTTATGGAGTGTGTATAAGGGATGAATAGTGTGTTATGAATGGTATCTGTGGCCTGGATTCCTCAAAGGGTTGAAAAGCTTTGCTGACCTAGTGCACAGCCCTTCTCTCTCTTAGCACTTTGGCTGCTGTTGCATATTTCAAGCACACAATGTAGCAGTCATGTATAATAGAATGCTCTGAGAGGTTTGGACCATACTGTACGGCCCCATTTTTCATCACACCGGAGCAGGGTGTGCATTGCGTCAGCGTGTTTGATCTGATCTCAATCACGAATGTACCGTTATAGGAGGCTGCTACCATTGTCATCATGAAAATGTTTTAGTCACTCAAAAGCCCTTGAATGTAGAGATAAGCACCGTAGGCGTAAAGAATGAGGTTAGTGTGAAAATGTGTTTTGATATGATGGTGTGCTCGATTTTGTCTGCAAAAGTCCTCTTTTTTTGGATCGGTGAACAACTCGCCTCAGACGTAAAAAGTTCACTGTGCGGTTGTTCTCCCTTGCTCGAGGCCTTCACTGCGTTATTCTGAGATTATTATGCCTTTTTCCTTTTCCACATGGGGCCATCCAAAGAAAAGTCTGAGTTTATTTGCCTGAAGTTAAAAAGCGAAGCAGGTAAAAATACGATGTGTACTGGAATGTTTTTGTCGTTCTGTTCGAGTTCTCTCCTCTTCCTCCACTCTCTCTCGTCTCCTTTAGCCTTAATGTGTCTTTGACTGGTGGGGCATGCATGTGTGAACTGAAGAAAGTGACTCTGTGTTTATGGCTCTGCTGTGTGAGGCCCGTGTGAGCATGTGTCACAACCATAAAGTGAATTGTTTGTGCCTAAATATTCTTGTTTATCCTTCAGATTTTATTGCATAATATTCTCTTTTTTTGGTCTGTGTTTTTCTCTCTCTTTTTTTGTAAACACACTCTCTCCATGGGGTGTCTGGATTTTGCATAATTTTCCCTCTCGCAATCTGCCTGTGAAGCGAAAGAGCTGCAATGAAAAATTCAAAGCATATTTAGCTGCTGGGAGAGCCACAGAAGGCCTTGGGCAGGCCAGCCTGGCCCGTGCCGCTGTCTGGGCCGGGATCGGTGGGTGTAAAAAGGGGAGGGGGTCTGACAGACATGCTTTAAAGAGCTTTTGGGATTTGCATTATTTGGCCTGCACTACATTTGTGTGTGTGTGAGTCTACTATTGCTTTCCTATGGCTATATCAGTTGAAGCTGTTGTTAAACTAGAGCACAGTCAACCCCCCTAAACACACACACACTCACATACATTGTTTTGAAATACAGTTTTTTTTGGACTTCCTCTTCCTCTTTCTTCACCTCATTCACATCGCATGTGACGTGTAACCGAAAGCACCACATTAACAGGAAATTGGGCCACTTTTACTTCATCTGCGGTCTCACATAATACCTTGGCATTGTCCCTGCAAGTCTTTGAGCAGTGAGTGTTTATATTGTGGTAATTTAAGATTTTACACAATGTTTCTTACTCAAGCAATAATAACATTTCCTCTGTATTTCTGCTTTAGATTTTTGAGAATGAGCTGCTGGGATTGTTTCTGCTGCAGTCACCATTATTAATGCCTATTCTTTTTCTTTCTTTCTCTCAGATCACTAGATGGTCGGTTGCAAGTATCTCACAGAAAAGGACTCCCTCATGTGATCTACTGTCGTCTTTGGCGCTGGCCTGACCTGCAGTCTCATCATGAGCTCAGAGCCATTGAACTCTGTGAGTTTGCCTTTCACATGAAAAAGGACGAGGTCTGCGTCAATCCCTACCATTACCAGCGAGTCGAGACACCAGGTAATGCAGCCTGATTTTTATGAAAGCACCAAGCACACTATCAGACAGTATCATTCGTTTAGACCTGGGGTTGATCGCAGTACTGCGGGGGGTCTGCCAATTATTATATGATCACAAACATGTTTTAATGAAAATATGAATTAAGGGGTGGTCACATTAGATTTTGAGAATGCACTTTTTTTTTGCACAATGCAACAGATGGGATGTGACATCTTAAATGTAACTAATAAACTGAGCTTTGGCATGCTTTTTGTTTCTGATTTCCTGCATTTGTATGTGTTTGAATGGAAGTCAGAGGAATTAAAAGTGTAGTGTTAAGTGTAGTGTGACTGCACAATTAAACAAAAAATATGATAATTAACTGTAATTTATAGCTTTACCAAAGCTAAAAATGTTTTATTTAATAAAAATGATTAAATAACATTAAAATGTAATGACCATGTAATTGACTCTGCAATACTCCCATCTCCATCTCTTAAATTCCTGTCCAGACTCTACACTGTTTTATCTAAATAAAGGCAAAACACCTAAAAACTATTTAAAAAAAATTGCTGTTTCATGCTGTTATGATCTTCTGATCCTTATATTACTCAACATATTTAGCATTGGGGCTGTGCGATTTAATTGAAATCGCAATAAAATCATAATAAAGAATGCACGATTTCTAAACCACGAAAGCATGATTTCGTGTTATGCCAAGTTCTAGTGCGAGCATAAAAAAGACTTATGGTTACGACATGGAGAAAGCACAGAAACAGGGTACTTGTGTGCTGTCTGAGACGGTTTTCTGTGCACACACACCCAAAGCCGTTTCTCAGAACACCGAATTTAGCTCTCTTTCATGTCTTTTTGCGCTTTCTATGTTCAGGTTTTAAGCTAACGTAAAGAGTTGAGAAAGAAAATGCAGGTGTGTCAGTATATGAGATCCGTGCATGAGATCTTAAAGGGGTCATCAGATGCAAAATTCACTTTACATGTTGTTTGAACATAAATGTGTGTTGGAAGTGCGAGTACACGTCCACCCTATAATGATAAAAATCCACCCATTCAACAATCCATTTTTTTTAAATCCATATTTTAAAATCCCCTTTCTCAAATCAGGCTGTTCTGAGATTCCTGGCAGAGTGACGTAGTTCTGCACAGTCCCCTCCCACGACAAGGTCGTCTTACCTTAGACCCGCCATGAGTGAGCTGTGAGCTGTCCGCCATTGTGTCGACTCTGGTGCAGGGGAAGACAAGAATGTCTCTGATTAAGTGATTGAGGTGTTTTGTTGTAGGATGTAATAATGAACATAGCAGTCGTCATTTACTCACGACATCTGAGCCGCTGAAGACGCAGAGGATTAACGTCACTTTCGCTTTTGAAGGGAATGCGCTAATCCCCCATCTGCCTAAATGCATCTATGTTCGTGCGAATCATTCTTGATAACTTTAATAAGGATTAACCTAAACTAATTTATACAATGAAGACTATGCAATGTTGTTTTACATTTGGTTATTTAAAAGGGTCATATGGTGCGATTTCAATTTTTCCTTTCTCTTTGGAGTGTTACAAGCTCTTGGTGCATAAAGAAGATCTGTAAAGTTGCAAAGACTAAAGTCTCAAATCTAAAGAGATATTCTTTATAAAATTAAGAGTCAACCACGCCTACCTAAAACGGCTTGTTCTAACACGCCCCCACATGTCTACGTCACGATGTGGGAAGATTTGCATAATGCCGCCCAAATGTTCACGCCGGCCGTTCCTCACTTTATCCCCCGGCCTCTGCTCACTCTAGGCCGCCGTGTGTGACGCTGTGTTTCGTTGT